CGGCCTGCCTTCTGCTATTTTTAGCGGTTTTTCAGTCGTGTTCAGATTTATTCTTGTGTCTCTTCAGTTATTTGTGTTTGCCGTTCTCCTTGCCAACCTGGCAGAGATACATATTTTTAAGTTTTGGGGTTTTTTTTGCTGCTTCTCTGCCTCCGTGCAAGCGCTGCTGGCCTTGCCGGGGATCCCACGCAGCCGGTTGTGCCCCTGATCTTTTCACGCTGCATCGCTATTTTTGTGATTTTGGGACTATCTTGCTGCTGCGTTGGCCTTAACCAACCCATCCTAGTGTGGGCTTCGTGTTTCTGCCACAGCTTTTCAGGGAGAGGGAGGGCCCTTATCTTTCCGCAAATGCGAGAAGGTCATAACTGGATTAAATTTCCAGATTTGGCTCGCAGAAGCAGGGAGGTGAAGGATATTTGCAGAAATAGGTGATTTCTGCCCCAATAGATTTGGCTGGGGCTGAGGTCAGGAGTCGCTGCTGGCCCCACTGTGTGACTGGAACTCTCTGTGGTCACACACTTAACTTTGGAGGCTTGATGGGACCATAAAGGTCCCCAGTAGTGGCCTGAAGGACCCAACTCTGACCTCCTGTGGGGACAGGATGCTCTTTAGGTTGTTGGCCAGCAGCTCAGGCTGGTGGCCACGAGGTTGGGCTGCTGCAGCCCCAAATTCAGGAGGAAAACTCTGAGTCACAACCATGGCATTTGTGTTGTTCCAGGTGCTGCCGGAGTGCTGGTGGGACACCCCTTCGACACTGTCAAGGTGGGTTGATGATGACGTGGTCTCTGGGTAGAAAACTGGAAGTTTTTTTGAGGATTTGGGGAGGAAAACCAGAAATGATCTGTGTTGGGAAGCTCAGAGCAAGGCTCCTCAACCACTGTGTGTGGATTGGCAGCCTGCAGCTCTCCAGACATGAAAAACATGATTTGTATGTATGATTCAGCCCAGTAACGTGACAAACCTTGGCCCAAACTACAAGCTGCTCAGCGCAGTAACAGCGTCGTATTTAAAATTACAATCTTACATTTAGCTGAATTTTGTCCTAAGCTTGCTTCTCTGCAGCTAATTTAGCACCAATTGCTAAAACCACCTCTCCTGTGTTTGTAACCCCAACCTCCTTCGTTACTAGGCTGAAAACTTCTGCTGTGTTTCCCCTTCGAGCCCTGCTGCTTACGCCTCCAGCAGTGATTTATTACACTGGCCAAAGGCTGTAAGTGGATAAAAATCCACAGCATGAAGCTTGTCCGGGGGCTTTATCCTCCTTTTAAGTATTGTTATATATTTTTACAACTTCCCAAGTTAAAATTGATATTTTGATACTCACTTAGCTGCATGTATTATGCATACAAGGGGTAGCTAAGACCTGTTCAAAAATCAGATTTTAAATCTCCTGGAGGGCCCTGCAGCCAGGACTCCCAATGTTCAGGTCCAAGCCCATTGTTCAATATGGGATGACAACGCAAGTGATATTTTTTGGCAGTCTTATCCAAATTCTCGCAGTGGAAGAATAAAAGAGGGAGATGCTGACATATTCCCCGCTAAATTAACGCACCGGATCGCTTGACTGCAGCAGACGCTGAGGCTATATTTGGCTTACCTCTACCTTGCTGTATTTAGATATGCAAAGGGCTGATAGTGTTACCCAGCCCATCCCCACATTCTGTGTTTTAGTGTTCATTCAACACAGGTTTTCCTCACTGGTGGGTATTGCTCCTTGCCAGTCAAGTGCAAGCTGCTCAGGTAGTAAAAGCTGTACATAGCTGTCTCAGAGTATGGTAAATTTGGCTTTTAAGTAATTGGGTTGAATTCTGGTTTATATTTTCAGGCATGGGATTATTGCACATTTTATGGTGGTGCAGGGCCAGCTGTCTCCTTCTCTCCCCCCTATCCTGCCAAGTTTTAGGTGCTTTACGGGTCATTTCCCTGCAAAACTGCTACAGTTCTGCTTTCAGACTGAAGTTAAGCATGAGTGGGGATTTTGGGGGGGCTTTTTAGTTTGTTTTAAAGTGGAACAGCTTCTGGTGCTTGAAACTAAACATCCAAGCATCTGGAAAACTGGGGCTCCTGTGCTCATTCCAGCAGATGTGTTAATGCAAAATAGATGTGTTGGCATTAGAAAAACAAACATTTTGCTTTAAAACAGAGCAAAATAGTCTGTTTGCAGGTGATTTTAAAGGTTTTATGAAATTCGGTGGGGAACGCTATATTTTCCTACCTGTTAGAAGGTATTGTAAGCATTTATCTGTTTGTTTTTTTGTAAGAGAAAAAGTTTGTTAGAGAAAATACGAATGTTTGTGTTCCCTGGCTGCCACAGTCACCACTGTATGTGGGAAAACTACCACTGCAACCGGTCTGAAAAAGGACAAAAATCAATACAAATTGCATAGCTTGTGTATGTCTGTGTTAAGAATTAACCCTTCTTGCAGCTCTGCAGTTGAAAGGGCTGGCTGGCAGTCACCGCGGACTGCAGGCGTTTAATAGCACGGGCAAGCCGCTCGGATAAGCGGGGATTTTGCTCTTGTCTCGGCGTTGAGGCCGTTTTTGGGCAGCGGGGAGGGGGCCTGGGGGGGCCCCGGCTGAAAACGCCTCCCCCCCCGCCCCTGGTTTGTTGATGTGATGTGTGAAATTGCTTTTTTGCTTTTAACTGCCTTTACTTTCTGAGCTAGGGGCTGTCTTCATTAACAGCAAAAGTGTTACTTTGTTGTAGATGACAGATAAGCCTCATCACGGGAGAGTTACCTAGTAAGTATAGCCCAGGTGAACGCTTCTGTTTCTCTCAGTCTTCATTTATCCCCAAATGTGTTAGTGTCAAATAAAGACCTCACACACTTACGAAGCCTTTTTTTTTCCCCCTTTTGAGTTTCAAACTGGTGTCCCCCTCTTCTACAGCTATGGCACGGAGGGAGTGGGGGTTAAATAGCCCTGGTTTTAATGTAAAGTCTTACTCTGAACCTTCTCTCTGGTGTGCATTTCTGGCTCTAAAACCCAACCTCAGGCACCCTGTTGTCGAGGTCTTACCCACTACATAACCTTGAGGGGTATTTTCATGGCTCAAACACTTCCAAATCACTGATTTTGCACATTATTCAATGTTTGGGGGTGTGGTGGTTTGGTTTTTCTGCTTAGTTTTGAGTACCTCTGCAATTACGGTCTGCTACTACAGACCTGCAACCTTACTAACAGCGGTTTCAAATAGGGAAACGAGGAAATTGGGCAATGAATAGAATAGAGGGTTAAAATTTGCACATGGCTCATCTTTCCTAGTGTTGTACACACTAAAAAAACTTGTTGAATACGGCATTAATACTCATTAAATGAAGTTTCAGCTGCATTCATTGCCTTCTCTGGCAGTGTGCTAATACAGGTACCGCTGTGTGCTCAGAGAAAAGACATTTTTAATTCTTAGACCTGCAGCATCAGTGCTTTCTAAGTATTTTATCCTATAACAAAGCTTCATTGGGCAATAGTCCATAAATTCTTTAGATAAAAATAGTGGGAGCTGAAAATTCAACTAAGAAACTCAACTTGTATGCGGAACATGACTACTTTTAAAATACTTTAACTCTTCTATAGCATTAGTAAGGTTTCCAAGCTGCAGTTCTGCCCAAGCCCATACATGTGGGAGTCCCCTCACTTCACAGACTGGGTTTGAAACAACAGCAGTCACCTATAAATGGAGCAAAAACCTTTTGTTCTGGGCACTTCTTGTTAAGATTTATGGCTTAAAAGTGCTCAAGAAGCAGACACCAGAGCAATCTGCCTACCCCCAAACGTCACTTGGAGTAACAAAGTGGATTTGTTTTCTTTGAATCCGACCTTTAAGCTGATTTTTAACGCTGTTTTAAAACCCTGCTCTGTCTTGGAAGAGCTGAGGTGATCTCAGCCTCCCAGTATAGCTATTGTACACTAATGAGTATACTAAAAAGACACTGAAAACTAAAGTATTCATAAGACATAAAATTACATTATAGGACTATAAGAAAATACTGAAGCTATAAATTTATTTTTTTCCACAAATAAATCTAACCCACGTATAGAATTTGGACAACCCACAGCCCCAAAGCCTCCTCTAGGCCCACATTACTGTCCAGCTCTTTCACTGATGTGGTGATGTTTATTAGGGCTTCAGGCGAACAACGATGAAAAGATTTTTTAAAGTCAGGAATCATTCACACAAACACTGCTTTTGTTCAGAATGAGAGGCTTGAAGTTTTCTGCAGCAGCAGCATTAAATGGTTATAAATGTATTTTCTGAGGAACACTGCAGCCCTCCGCGCTGGGGATCAAAGCCCAATTCCCAGCTTTCCCAATCCAGTGAACCCAGTTCATTGGGTTTATTGCAGTGTAGGGCTTTGTACAAACCAGGCAGCTCTGAGCCCATTTTGGTTTTGAGTGTGCTGAGCACAAATTAGCAGGGAAAAAGAGAATTGGCCTTTGCCATTAAAGGTTAAACAAGATGTAGAAAAAGGGCTTGGCTCAGTGCAGGTCCCAGTTCTGGTAGCCAGAAACACCTTGGGGGGTGGTGGTGAAAGTTTTAAAAATCCTCCTTATTTCATGCCCGACTTGTAAATAAATTCCTATGAAATTCTACTGGGTTTTCAGATACTCCTTAGCATGAACAGAAGTCTCCTTGGCAGCTAAAGCAAGCGCTTATTGTAGCCAGTATTGGAAAAGTCCTATCTGAAACTCTAGATAACGCTGTGCCCTGCTGTATTTCCACACAGCTTTTTTCCTAATCTTACAAGAAGTTAATCCTCCTCCCTTCATGTTTTCACCCTAAAAAATTAATCCAAAACTCAGAATATTTTTTTAATTACCTTGCCACAAATGGCATTGCAGTGTCCAGCCTGTGCTCTTGCATACACATTGCTGTAGCAAATCTCCATATATCACAGTAATTTCCCAGTGAGGCTGCTCCCGATGTACAAATCCGTATCTGATACAACTTTTTATAGGTTCGGCTGCAAGTTCAAAATGTAGAGAAACCTCTCTACCGCGGGACCTTCCATTGCTTTCAGTCCATCATAAAGCAAGAAACTGTAAGTACAGCATTAATACTTTTTGTGTTTTATATATTCATGTATTTTGTATCAGAAGGGTGGGGGAAGATGTTATAAAAACCGTACAAATATTGAATATTAAGCGATAAGCGTACTCTGAACCACACCTGAGCATAGGGCAGGTGTTGTAGTCAGAAGTTTGCCAGAAACTCAATACATTGGAAGCTGGTATTTTGAAGTTAACTTTTAAAATAAGTCATTTGAATATTAGTTTTCCAAGAATCCAGGTAATCTGAGAAATAGGAAATTGGTGCTGCCAGGCAGAGAAGGACCTGGGGTGTTGGTGGACAGTGATGCCCATGAGCCAGCAATGTGCCCTTGAGCCAAGAAGGCCAAGGCCATCCTGGGGTGGATGAGAAGGGGTGGTTGTAGGGCAGAGAGGTTCTCCTGCCCCTCTGCTCTGCCCTGCTCACACCACAGCTGCAATCTTGTGTCCAGTGCTGGGCCCTCAGCTCAAGAAGGACAGGAACTGCTTGAAAGAGTCCAGCAGGGCCACAAAGATGCTGGAGGGAGTGGAGCATCTCCTGCTGAGGAGCGGCTGAGGGAGCTGGGGCTCTTGAGCTTGGAGCAGAGGAGACTGAGGGGTGCCCTCATTCCTGGGGATCCATTGGGAAAGGGCAGTGTCAGGAGGAAGGAGCCAGGCTCTGCTCTGGGATGGCCAATGCCAGGACAAGGGGCAATGGTCCCAAGCTGGAGCACAGGAGGTTCAAGCTGAAGATGAGGCCAGACTTTGTGAGTGTGAGGGTTCTGAAGCATGGCCCAGGCTGCCCAGAGAGGTTGTGGAGTCTCCTTGTCTGCAGACACCCAAAGCCCTGGCCGTGTTCCTGTGTGACTGCTCTGGTGATCCTGCTCTGGCAGGAGTTGCACTGGGGGAGCTTTCCAGGTCCCTTCCAACTCCTCATATTCTGTGATTCTGAGTGGGTTTTTTTCTTGCTGAAGCTTTAAGACCATAACTAAAAGGTCTAAAAGCCACTAAAAGGATGGTGTTAGGCTTTTAGCTACTGAAAAAAATAAAAGTATAAAATTTACCAGAAAACTTTTCTCTGGATGGACCAAGATTATATTCTGGATGTATTCAGCTGTGTATTTGTACTGCTAAGGATGTTTGTGTCCTAGGTAATGATTTAAATTATTATTACAAAGCAAGATGGTGCTGATCCTCTGGAAATGAGGGTGTAAAACAGAGCCAGAAAGGTCACATTTTGCACAGGTTCAGGTTATGGACACCATTAAAAAGGGTTTTTCCTTCCTTTTCCCACCAGGCTTTTGGACTCTATAAAGGTATCGGGTCACCAATGATGGGGCTGACCTTCATAAACGCGCTGGTGTTCGGGGTGCAGGGGAACACGCTGCGCGCTCTGGGCAAGGACACTCCTCTGAACCAGTTCCTGGCGGGGTCGGCGGCGGGCGCCATCCAGTGCATCATCTGCTGCCCCATGGAGCTGGCCAAGACCCGGATGCAGCTGCAAGGGACGGGCGAGTACAAACTGAAAATGAAGAACTACAAAAACTCCCTGGATTGCTTGGTCAAAATCTACCGCAAGGAAGGGCTGAGGGGGATCAACAGGGGCATGGTGTCCACCTTCATCAGAGAGACTCCGAGCTTTGGCTTTTACTTCCTGACCTATGACTGCATGACCCGCTATTTGGGCTGCGAAGCCGAGGACAGTTACGTTATTCCCAAACTGCTGTTTTCGGGAGGGATGTCGGGCATCGTGTCCTGGCTCTCCACCTACCCCGTGGATGTGATCAAATCCCGGCTGCAGGCCGACGGTGTGGGGGGCGTCACGCAATACAACGGCATTTTGGACTGCGTCCGCAAGAGTTACCACGAGGAAGGCTGGAGGGTGTTCACCAGAGGCCTCACGTCCACGCTGCTGCGCGCCTTCCCCGTCAACGCGGCCACCTTCGCCACCGTCACCGTCTTCCTGATGTACATGAGGTCGGAGGACAACCTCCGCGAGTGTGAACCAGGCCCGGTCATCCAGCAGCCTTCCAGTTTGTAAACCTTACTTGGTTTGGTTCTCCTGACCCAAAAACCCATCCGTTTGGGTTATTTTTTTAATTATACTTGACCCGCACAAATGGTGTCAACGTATGCTCCCTGTATAAAGAATTCCTAAACGTGGTAAATTAGGATTTCATCTCACTACTCGTATAAACAGCGCACTGCCTTATTAAGGACTTTGTATTTAGTAGTATCCAAGATGGGGACCTGCCTTAGGAAGTACCCTAGGCACTGCTGCGGGTCTGGAGACCGCCATCGTACCAGGAATCAGGTTTTCTTCCGCTCGTGTTGCGAATGACCGAGTTGAGTCGAATGCAGCAACGTTTCCAGGAAAGAAATGCCCTTTTTTGGATGTACCAGGAGTAAGTACAGTCCTGTGAGGTGAAGTAGGGGATGGAAATTAAACGCTGGAGGCATTTTGCAGGTAACCCTGAGCTGTTTAAGACCTGGGGTAGCGTTCAGGTAGCCACGTGTTTTACTGTTCCTCTGCTTTTCTAGGTCAGTGGTTTTAGCAGCAACTTTGTTCATACTGGTTTGCTAAGGAAAAAACCAGAGATTATTTGTTCCTAAGCTACTCCCTTACCTTTCAGCTTTGATAAATACCTTCAGCACCGCGTTAGCAGCTGCACTCGTACGCACTTGTTCCTTTAAATCCCAAGGATTTCGGGAAACTCGGACCTAGTAACATTGATGTTATTTGCCTTCACCTCTATCTCTCTTGCGGTGGATGCACGGATTATTGACCGGTTTCAGCCCAAATAGTCTTTGTTAACTGAAATTAAAGCAACTTTGCACCATCTCTCCCAAACTGCCCCTAGCAGCCAGCGATGCACAGAAGTCCACGTCCTGCCTGTGGTACCGCACAAAACGTTGGTGGGTGCAATGTCAGCGTAGCAGCTGGAAGCACTGTAGAAATACCTACGTGTATAGAGCTGGAGGTCTGGTCCCTTCCCCAAAAACAGGGGTGTAAGTGTCCGACACGGCTGGTGTCCAATGCGTTATGAATGTAAAGTGATTTTTTTTAAATGGATTTAGTTACAGTGCTACTGGAAAAAAGACTGAAAAGGGTTTTGGAGAATTTTCTTGTTCCATGAATCCGCTGCGATCTTTATTTTGAAGCGGTCTGTTCAAAAGGCATCGCATTGGCCAAAGAGCTATAAAGAGTTATTTAAGATCTGGAACACAAACTGACACACATTTGGCACAAATAGCCCAGAGGATGCAAGAAATACTCTAAAACGTATCAAACTAGTTCAGGAAGTACAACTTGTTACACTTTTGGTTGGGACAAGTGCAATATGGGTTTAATTTATATGATTTTTTTTTTTATTTCCTAAAGAAACCTTATTTCGTAGCATTTTGCACTGTAACAAAAGATGCTGGAGAAACCTGTAAAACTGGTAAGTGTCTTTTTATACCTTGGAGGTATGTCGGGTGTTTTAGTGCCTACTTGCACTGAGATTCAAATTGAATGTTAAATCTGTCTACTGAGCTGCATATGCACAACAACTCACAGCGAAGACCATTCACACCTTTGTACAGTAGTCTGTAATTATTGTATATAATTATATTGAGGGAATAAATTTTGTAAAAATTTTGACTGGGGAGTCTTTCAGTGTCTCTTGTGTTTTACTCAGAGGCTTCCTGGGGTTAAATCTTGCAAGAGGATGGGGTTTCTGGTTTTTTGGCTGAAGAAACTTGTCCCCTCGTCTGTACAAGTTTAGCAAAAAGCTTTGTAGGGTTTTTTTTTAGTGTAAATAACCCAGAAATAGCATCAATATTCCAATTAAAAAGCCAGGTAGGAAAAGCAAGATCACAGAATCGCAGGATGTGCTGGGTTGGAAGGGACCTTTAAAGCTGATCCAGTCCAACCCTGCAGTAGCAGGGACATTGGTACCAGATCAGGGTGCTCAGACCCCATCAAGCCTGGCCTTGAATATCTCCAGGGATGGGGCCTGCACCACCTCTGGGCAACCTGTGCCACTGATCGACCACCTCATGGGGAAGAGCTTTTTCCTCATCTCCAACCTAAATCTGCCCTTTTCCAGTTTAAAACCATCACCCCTCGTCCTATCGCTCCATGCCCCAGTGAACAGCTCTTCCCACATTTCTTATAGGCACCTTTCAGGTCCTGGAAGGTCGCTATAAGGTCCCCCTGGAGCCTTCTCCAGCTGAACAACCCCAACTCTCTCAGCTGTCCCCATAGCAGAGCTGCTCCAGCCCCTGAGCATCTTTGTGGCTCCTCTGGACCCACTCCAGCTCTTCAATGTCCTTTTAGTGCTGGGGACTCCAAAGCTGGACACAGCACTGCAGGTGGGGTCTGGAGTAATGGGTTATGGCATGGAAAAAAAGACCCTTGCTGATGAGAGGTTATTTAAGGTACTGGCTCTGCTAATAAATCTTTTTAAAGGGTAAATACATGTGACTGAAAGAAACCCTGTCAAGTACCAGTTTGCTCCATCAGGAAAGGGAAAGGCCACCAGTTCTCCCAGTAACTGTGGCCAGAGATGATTCCAGTCAGGACCTTGTGTCTTAGCAGGAGCAATGATGCTGAACCACAGCGCATCAACAAATACATGCAATAAGTAAACAGCATCTCCCTAAAAGACAGTAACATCATTAAAACTAGGTTTTACTCAAGTATTTACTGAAACATCCTCTCCAGAAATTCATCATCTGGAACTTAAATAATCGGTAGCAGACACCGAGGTTACTCAGCAAGCTTAGAGCAGGGTAAAATCCAGCTCCCAACCTCGTCTGGTGGCACCTGCTTGAAATCTGTGCGACTCAGAAATAGCAAACCAAGCAAGACAGCAGCCTCAGCTGTTTTAAACATTATCCTGGTCCTTCATGCTGGATTTTTTAATGTCAGACAGTTTGTATGGCAGATTTTCTAATACGTCAAACAACTGCGTTCTGCCTCCCCAGAACAACAGGGGAAAAAAGCCCTCAGGTACAACCCTGCCAGGCTTTAAATTACTGTAGTAAACGTACCAGGGATGAAATTCAGTTAATTTATCCTCTCTGCACCCATAATATGACATTATTCATCTCTCTCCCTTGCCTTTCTCCACATTCAGCTTTTTTACAGTTCACATGTAAAGCAGCAAGACATCCAAGGGATGGGAACCAGTATAACATGGGCACAGGACAGGGAACAGACTGGGAAAGTTACTAAGACCAAGTATAAAATTTGACCACAAACCATTCTTCAGGCCTATAAATTTTTCCATCTAACACAGTAAAATAGCTTCTTGGGATCATTCACTTTTATTACTTACGCTTTATTATTGCTGCTTTTTCTTACTGGAAGAAACTCTGTGCGTTTTTTAACTAAAAGAGACTTGTCCCATTTCAACCAAGTCCACGTGTCAGTTGATAAAATACTAAAATCATAACAAAGCTTGACCTGTTTGCTAAATGTCTCAAGATAAGAATTGTTGCTGGAGTGATCTGACTTGGCTAAAGCTGATATAAAAGAAAATGCGTGTTATTTTTCTAGGACCTGATCCAGTTGTCTTAAGCAGACACTTATCCTAAATCAGGTTTATTCATCTGCTGCAATCAACCAGGCCACAACTTCTTCCTATGCACTGATGTATTTGACCCTGCAACAGGGAATTTTCAAACAGACTAAAGCTGCAATTAGAGGAGGTAAAAGTAACTCTTCTACACTGAATTTCCTCCAGGCAGATACCTGCTTTCCTAGAACTCAGACATTATGCACTTTCATTTCACACTCTGGAAAAAATTGAGATGAAATCCCCTATACAAGAGGAAAGAATAAAAAACGATGTGAGAGGAAAACCTGACGACCTGCCATAGCGTTACTCCTTAAAATCCATTTCCAAACTGTAAATATCCCTATGCCCTTTCAACCTAGGGGAGTCACTGGGTTCATACAAACCCACTGCAGGCTCAGTTCACTGGTTAAGACTGAAGAATTCCATGTCCAAAGGCCAAATACTCTGTTTTGCTGAGGGAAAAAAAGGAAATGTGTTGAAAAATCAGCCAAAACAGGAGCTGCGGGATCCCCCCGTGGGAGGCAGTCAGAAACTCTGCAAGCCAAAATTGCAACCAGCAATGGTAGTTGGCAAGCATCTGAGTTTATGAGCCCTTAAATCATCCCATAAACTGTAACAAGACAGGGGTTTAGATGGATTTTTCTTGCATCCCATTACTGAGATGAGCTTTAGCTGAAGTACAGGGATAAATATTTTTAAAAGTACGGATTCTCCGCTATTTAACAAGGAGTCCAGCTCATTCCTCAGCCTATCTGCACCACAATTTATCTCAAAAATACACCTGTTATTCGCAAACAACATCGGTCTAAAATACACCTTTACTATGGACCTACTCCAGAAAGGTAACTCCACGTTGTTCTTTAAAAATATTTAATGTTGGATGTATGGATCTCCAAAACCCTTAGGTTTTCATTTACTGTCGCAGCGCATTCCAGGTCCGTCAAGGCCCCGTGAGCGCCCCAACACTTGGCCATCCTGGCTACTGGTCACACTGTCAAGACTGGTAATTCACTGCCATCTCCTGGTAAAATATTGCTCACAACCATCTGTACAGACCGAAATAATGCAGTGACGTAGATGCTACCCAGTATCGGCTCAATTATAGAGAAATCACCCTTAAATCGACAAGAATATTTCATTTTTAAAGTGCAAAAGCATCAAAAAGTCCTGCGAGGGCTCCACGGATTCGCCACCCTCCCAAAATGTGACTGCTGTTTTATGGTAAGGAACTGAAACATTCACGTGAACAGTGGGACTGGATCGGATGGGCTTTCTCCAAAAGGAAACGCAGTGTTATTCAGAGTATCTCCAGAGAAACAAAGAGACTGAAACAAATCCTAGGCAAAACAGCCTCAATACTGAGGGATAATTCTGAGTACACCCAATTCGGCTAAGCTGGTTTAATTCAGGCAGAGAATGAAACCAAGTAAGGGACCACTAATTAAATTAACTTATCAAACAGAGCCGGTAGCTTCGTTTAAGAAACCTCCTCACTCTTCCCAAAGCGCTGCTTTTTAACTATTCCATTTACACAGCTGTGTGTAATTGCACCAGATAATACCTTATTACTCCAGTATCACCATTACAGAACTGGATCAACACCAGGAACAGCCACCACTTGACTGGTTGGACTTCCTAGTTTAGCAGTCCTAACAAAAAATACCATTTTTGCTCCATTTCTTCAAAGCAATTTATTCACTTCGCAGCTCAAATCCGTACCTGGGCTCCTTGTACACCCTTTTCAAGAAAATAATGTTCTCCAGAATAGGTTAATTACGTTCAATTTGTCTTGCATTTTAAGGAGCTACTGCTACTGGCAGACCACAGGTAAGGGAGCAGAACTGGAGAAGGCAATGGAAAATGGAAAATCAAACAAGCAGTAAGACAGATAAAAGTAAGCACGTAAATCTTTTGCCAGCTTTATAACTGGCTGCACTTCCCCCACGCTCGGACCCTTCTCTTACCTGGATGTGCTCACAAATTGGGGGTGCATTGCAGGAACTCCGATGGTGGCTTCGAAGTCAGCACTGCTGCTGCTCTCCAAGTCTTTAACGTCTTCGTGGAAACCCACCAGGATACTCTGGAATCAACTACACGTGACGTTTTACAAACAAGTTTTGCCAATTCTACTTCAGAAGCTTAAATAAGTTACAGAAGCTGCTGGATGCAAGTATTTATTCATACCTGAGAGGCGATTAATTACAAAGCAGGATCTTCCATGCTACCAAGTGCTGCTACTTAACACTCAGGAGCGATCAAATGCTGCTGATTTGAGGCATAGATTTTCCAGCTCTCTCTTCTTAATTAAAGAGTTAATCCTCAAATCAATATTTAACAGAAATAATTTAGTCTCGAGTGTCTGTTTAAGGATGAAGTACAGACACCAAGGAATCTCTTTACCTTGCAGTTCAAACGGGAACCGCTCTATGTCACAGGAAAGCGAGTTCCAGCGCACGCCTACCACCACCACCCAGACTGCTCCAGAAAGAATCATGTGAGGTCGGTCACAACTCGACTGAACCGATTTTATTATCCTTCCAAAAAGAATCGACGCTAATTTAACTGTATACAGCATTTAATTTAACTCTAACTATACAAGTTTCAGTATATTGTCCTGTTCAAGAACGGCTTATTGGGAAAAAAAAAACCAAAACAACCAGAAAAATAAAATACTGCCAAAATTCTAATGCATACTTTACAACTGAATGCCCCATCTTTCTCTCTACCCCTAACAACCTCGGGCTAGAGGTGCACATTAAGTTATGTACGGATGAAAATTCCCTTGGTCTTAAATACAGTCACGTTATTAGCCGTGGTTTTTTCCCACCACTACCAAAACCAGACGCAAAAGTCATTTTTACAGTGTTAGCCGTGACAAATTCAATTAACCTTGCGAGAACAGAATTCAGAAATAGTATTAACAACAGTTTTTACTACAACATGTCACATCCCTCTAGGACATAATACTTGGGCGTTGCTGTGCGTATTGGTGTTCACTGACCCGTCACATCTGACTGCAGCACCTGCGAATTTCTGACGTTCAACACTTGAGCACATGAGCAGGGACCGCTTTTAGTCAGACCATCAAAACCCCCGCGGGAGAGCTCTGGGGTCCCGTTTTTGAAGTAAAAGGTGTCAAATGAGGTGCCAAAAACGTCCATTTTTAAGGGCCAAAAGAAAAAGACAATTTTCTCCTTTTTTTCCTGGTATGACCACTCAAACCCTGCTATTCCCCCAATCTGTTACTGCATTTAAACCTCCAGGATCCTTTACCTTGACCAAAAGGTGCCCATTTAGGTATTGTCTGAACTGCTTTTTTACCTATCTCTGTCCAGACACACTGGAAAGGCCCCGCTACGCTGCCACATTTCCAGTTAATGGAAGCCTGGCTCACTCAAAAAATCAGATTTACAGCCACCAAATCTGTTCAGGTACCACCTGAATGAGGGAATTTCACCGCAAATCATCCCAATTGAATGCAACGTTAAAGGAAACTTTGAGGAGTTTATTTAGCTTCCAATTTCTGGGAGGTCAAGAGGGACTAGGACTGCTCTGGCCAACAAAAGAAAAGAAGAGCGTGCTTACAGATCATTTTCTGCCGTATTCTTTCTTCAGGACCACTGTTTTATTGTTGCCCTTTCTATTACACGGGATGTACATATTACCGGGTGTTAATAAAAGGTCAGTGCCTGTACAATACATTCTACAACTGAGCACCACTTTCCGGAACTGAACAGGCAAAGAAATTACACTGAACATCAGCATCTGGCAGTATTTCTCCAAAAAAAGTGACTAAAATGGGTTTAAATCGATTAACACTATTAAATCACATCTAATATCTGATACTACATGATTTCATTACAGCTATACGATACAATTATACAAAATGTGTTAACATCAAAGAATACAACCAAAATTAAGATAGCAAACAAAACCTATATAACTTTTTTTTTTTCTTTACAGGAAAATACTTTTGAAGTATGCATGTAACTGCCCATTCTTTTAAAGAAAATCTACCGCAAGCAAGTTATCAACCTCCAGAAAAATCACACATAGCATTACTACGCATATCCCCAAAAAGTGTACAATATGCACACTTGGAATACAAAATTAAAAAAATCGTAAGCAACAGGTGAGCTTCAATATTTATAAGAATGTGAAAAGAAGTCCAATTTTAGCACTGTTGTAGAAAGAATTGTCTTTTTTTTTCTTTTTTTATTGACGCAAGTTCGTGAACCGACCCCTCTCTGCTCGGGGCGGCGCTTTACAAAACACCGTGTTCTTGAAACGGGATTACAGAGCAAGGTAGAGCATCTTAGCAACGTCACCTTCAAGTTGGTTTTGCGGTTGGTTTGTTGGTTGTTTTTTTTTGCTTTTTATTTACTACTTATCAAAACACGTCCTTTAGGTTTGTAGGGTCCATTTTTTTTTCTTTTAAAATTCTTTCCTAGAAACAATATACAAAGGGGAGGCGTATTTCTTTCCAATTCATACTCCTGGACGAGGCTGCTGAGTTCGAGAACTTTCTCCTCCAGCTTTCACTGGTTGTTTTTGGCCTTCGCGTGTGTTAAGATGTGAGATTTCAGGTTGGTTGATTGCGCAAACTTCTTATTGCAGCCGTCGAAAGGGCACACGTAGGGCCTGTCGCCGGTGTGAATTCGCACGTGCGTGCGTAAATTGAAGTCCAGTGAAAAACGCTTTCCACATCCTTCAAACGTACACTGTCGAGAGGAGAAGACACGCCGTTAGCTGATCAAACAACGCGCGATTCAGTCGTTGATTACAACAGGCTTTACATTGCTGAACTGCACAAACATGAAGCTAAACGCTGGAAATTATTGTAGGTGAAGCTACGGGCATCACTTGTAAACTGCGTTAAAAAATAAAATGGGTATTTCAGGTTTGTTTTACCACAGTAGGATCTTTTCAAAGAGGGAAATCGCTACCAGCTTTTGCTAAAAACACCTTCGATGCATCTGAACCAGCATTTTCACAGAATCACAGAATCGCTTGGTTGGAAAAGCCCTCTGAGATCATCACGTCCAACCGCTCCTGTCTACCCCCTAAACCATATCCTTAAGTACCTCATCTACCCGCTCTTTAAACACATCCAGGGATGGTGACTCCACCACCTCCCTGGGCAGCCTGGTCCAGCTTCTGACGACCCTCTCAGTAAAGAACTTCCTCCTTATCTCTAACCTGAACCTCCCTTGGCACAGCTTGGTGCCGTTTCCCCTTGTTCTGTCCCCATCACCTGGGAGAAGAGCCCAGCACCCACCTCTCCACAACCTCCCTTGAGGCAGTTGTAGGTGGTGATGAGGTCTCCCCTCAGCCTTCTCTTCTCCAGGCTGAACAAGCCCAGTTCCCTCAGCCGCTCCTCATCAGGCTTGTTCTCCAGAGCCCTCCCCATCCTTGTGGCTCTTCTCTGAACACGCTCCAGAATCTCAACATCCTTTTTCTAGTGAGGGGCCCAGAACTGAACACAGCACTCGAGGTGCGGCCTCACCAGTGCCGAGTACAGGGGGATGATCACCTCCCTGGCCCTGCTGGTCACACTGTTTTTAATACAGGCCAATTTTGCTATGCTGTACTAGAAAACAGAAGCGGTTTCACACCAGAATTCCCTTATTTCGGTAGCAACTTGCAAAGATTTGCTCATTTTACCAGCTTTACTTTTCAGATAGGCTCAGAATTAGTTTCACTGTAAGTATTTATCGCTCAAAGCACAGCAGCTCCAGCACACACATCTTAGTGAACGCCTGAGGATTGCTAATTAGGCTTGTGAAATAATTAACTTTTAAAGTATCAGCAACACAAAAATACAGATCTCAACCGTGTACTGGAGAACACAGATATGTTCAAGACTATGAACTCCTGTAAAGAAGATTTTTAAGGAGTATCACAGGAAGGAGGCAGGGGACCTCTGGTGGCAGAAGCTCACGTGACTCGATACGAACGGAAAGAGATGCAGCGACCACCATCATTTTGTCGAAAAGTGATTAACAACCACTACTGATAATTAGCATTATGAGTCAACTGGGCCAACAGCCCCAGATCTCTGCTGTCCACAAGTGCTGGGTTGAAAAGATGAGGAGAAAGAGACATTTTCCTCATCCGGTAGTAACTGCAGACTCCATTCTTAATTCTTCACATTATATTTTGGCAGGTAGCTCCCATGTACGTACAATTTGCTACTTTCTGCCAAAACTCCTCTGAAACAGCTAAACGACAGTCTGAATAGCTTAAGGGGACTTCCAATTCTTAAGGTGATCATTCAGTGCCTCATCTGGTTTTAGAAATACCATAGTACCCCCAAAGTCATACAGAAGCTAGGCAACAGAATCACAGAATCACAGAATCGCTCAGTTGGAAAAGCCCTCTGAGATCATCACGTCCAACCGCTCCTGTCTACCCCCTAAACCATATCCTTAAGTACCTCGTCTACCCGCTCTTTAAACACATCCAGGTGTTGGATGGTGACTCCACCACCTCCCTGGGCAGCCTGTTCCAGCTTCTGACGACCCTCTCAGTAAAGAACTTCCTCCTTATCTCTAACCTGAACCTCCCTTGGCACAGCTTGGTGCCGTTTCCCCTTGTTCTATCCCCCATCACCTGGGAGAAGAGCCCAGCACCCACCTCTCTACAAGCTCCCTTGAGGCAGTTGGAGGTGGTGATGAGGTCTCCCCTCAGCCTTCTCTTCTCCAGGCTAAACAAGCCCAGTTCCCTCAGCCGCTCCTCATCAGGCTTGTTCTCCAGAGCCCTCCCCATCCTTGTGGCTCTTCTCTGAACACGCTCCAGAATCTCAACATCCTTCTTCTAGTGAGGGGCCCAGAACTGAACACAGCACTCGAGGTGCGGCCTCACCAGTGCCGAGTACAGGGGGATGATCACCTCCCTGGCCCTGCTGGTCCCACTGTTTTTAATACAGGCTAAGGTGCTATTACCAAATAAACTGGTTTATGAATGCCTATGTCTGGAGGTCAACAGTACCTGAAAGGGCTTCTCTCCAGTATGGACTAGCTGATGCCGCTTTAGTTTCGAGCTCTCCACAAAGGCCTTGCCGCATTCTGCACAGACGTGTACTCGCGGGCCGTGAGTGTGCAGGTGCTTCCTCATGGCAGAGTTGTCCCTGAACATCTTTGTGCAGCCCTTAAAAAGAAATGAAACTCAGTTAGCAGATAAAACCTTCCTTACCAAGAGGTTATGTGCTACAGTACAGGCATTTTAAATGCTTTTAGGTCCTGAATACTTTCTTAAAAGTTGGCCCTGAAAAGGAGATCCCTTGCATTTCTTTTAAAAAGCAGTACCAAGAAAACCCCAACCCAATCCCAAACAAAAAACCTCAAACCCCTCTCTTTGCTTAGTGTTATGAGCCATGTGCAGTCAAATGAATAACAGGACATGGAATATATAGAGTAAGTCTCATGGAGAAGATGCAGCTCTGAGAGAAGCAAATGAATAGAAGAAATAAAAGCACTTACAGTTTCAGGGGAAAATAAGAAGAAATCAAATAAAAGACAGAATGATAATTCATGGATACCTATGGAATATTCTGAGTACTACAGTACCACAACACACCACATAGGCCCTAATATTTACTCCCTGGTACCAATTTGTACATGCACCACTCCACCTCCCAATATTCTGTCCTCTTCCTTCTCATCTCTGAGAAGAAACGGAGCAAAAAGGTTTCCAGCTTACAGAAACCACCCTGCCCAAACTGGCAGCAGCAAACTGATCACTGCCTTTTCTTTACCTTTTCCTCAGACATCTATCATATGTTTTATCAATGTCTTCCCTCAAGGTTCAAAATCCCTCACAAAATCCTATTAACAGCTGTAAATTCTGTCTGTACTCCACGTGATGCTGTTTAAACTTGCGTAAAACTGGTCCACCAACATCACTGTGTTATGAGGCATAAAATTCAACAACAGAACCCAAAAGAAGATTCGATTGCCAATTTTAAATCCCACAGGCTTCCTCTTTGGAAATTAAGTTTTAAAAACAAGTAACCACATTTAAATACGCCTTATTTCTTAAAAAAGGGGGAAATGCCACTTTCAGGAAGAGCTGTCTCTTCAGGCACTACAATTTCTTTGGCTAATTTAAGAAGTGCTGTGCCACCATGCATTGCACGTAACAGAGGTGGGGCAAAGCAGCACCAAAATAAACACACCATCCACTTTTTTGCACTTATTTCAGGTCCCTGCTTGCCTCTCAGAGGAGGAGTTACATCTACAGTATTTTTCTTTTCTAAACTGAAGTCCTAAGTGCACAAAGCCTAGAAACACTAGAAAAGAGGAAACGGGAGGACAGAATATTCTTTGTTATCCCTGTTCAGATGAAGCTGACGCCATGAAAAAGTAAATCAAAGAAATGAAGGCAGCATTCCTGGGTGCTGTAAGGAGCAACTGTGCCTGGATCTCTACATACTACACTACAATAAAAACATGACACTTGTAGATGTGAAGACATGGAAATCAATACAAGCACAAAGGGACACTCCTGAGCCTATGGCTGTCAAACAAAGCCTCTCTTCGTGCTCTCTAACGTGTGCTATCTGCTTTCTGCCCTGGTTACTTGCTTAGGCTCACACTTATCTAGACCAGAAGTCAGCAAGATCGTATTTGTCTTTTTTCATTACAGACCGTGCCATGTAATGCTACAAAAGCTGGATAATGCAGTAAAGCTGGATGCTGCCAATCGAGGTGACTGGCAACAGTTACTCAAGACAGAGGCTTCCTGCTCCCAGGGGATCAGAATGACATCTCCAAGATGCCTCTCTCTTTCTCTCAAGACGATGCACCTTCCAGCTCTGTGGTTTGTAATTCAAAGCCTTCCAATAATACCGACTTTGGTACAAGGAATTGCTGATTCCTGATCTAGACTCCAAATCTGTCATAGTTTCCGAGCAGAGCGTGTATATAGATCTTAGGAACGTACTTTGAACAGCATTCAGAACATTCTTTCAAGTATGTATTCTTGGGTGGCAGGAAATCACAACAGTAAAAGCAGCATGTTAGGGACTGTGCATCATGGTTACCAGAAGATTAGGGATGCACTAACCTTAAGACAAGGAATGGGAATAATATATTATTCAGCGAAAGGTTTTTTAAGGAAGCCTCTCAAGAATGATAACTAAAATACAGTTAACGGAGTGTAGGCTATTAACAGTAAGGTATTTTAGTTATTCATTCTCAAGAGAAAATATCAACACAAAATTCTGGTCTATAAACTACTACACCAACTCTGACGCCGAGCGCTTCACTTACTTTGTGAGGACAAGCTATCGTTCGTGGAGCATCGTCTTCTTTAATTTTCCTTGGTTTCATTCTTAAAGACAAAAAACACACAACACATCAGTAGAAATACAGGAGCAGACAGCTTTTCTCCCATAACTGCCTATCTAATGTGCATATTTACTCAGCAGTATTATGTGCATCAGTAGTATTCAGTTTAATGTTTTCAAAACCTTCTTAGCAATATTAACAGTATAATTAGGCATTTGTAAATGCCTTTTCCAGAAGGACCTCTCAAAAATACAGAATGTTTAATATTACCTTCCTAGTCCTTTGAATATGTGGAAACAAAGGTTTATTTTCTGACTTACACCAATTGTAATTGGGAGTTTTTGCTTGAAAACTCTGGTTTTGTTGTGCCAGTACCCACATGGCCTATTTATCTTCACCTCCTCTCCATCCCTGCACCAGGACACGAAGGACAGAGTAACCTCAATCATTCTTCACCACACAAGAAAACTCTCCAGAAGCAGGGAAGCAGCAAGTTGTGGAACCTACACAGGCAATGTAGATCTGGTATAACCACAGCAATCGCAATTATTCTTACTTTAAGCCACTGCACACATGGATTCCGCTCTTGAAAACTCACGAGCAATCATCTGTTTACTCTCTTGGTTGCCGACAGGGATTTTCACCACTACTTTATGGGTGCTACATTGACTACACGAGGAGCCCAGCAAACTATTGCTTGTAGGTAGGTATAAATAAAAGCACCTCATACAACTGGAGACTTAGACAAATAATGAGATTTTGTGCATTCCAAAACCTTGCTATTGCAGGGGAGCTCATCTGTTTATGTGAGCTCCCAAATGACTTTTTCTGGTACAGTACAAGACGCGCATGAAAAGGCAGCTACGTATCATACCTCTAAGTTAAAAGGAAGGTTTCCTGGTGTACTCTCTAGTCTCAATTTAACAAGAGAATCAGAATTACCAGAATCACTATTCTTAACATTAAAAAAGAGAGGAGTCTGTTGCTAACCAAGATGGTTTTAATCCCCAGGAGTTTAGTTCCTGGAAACAGAACACAGCTGGGGAAAAACATTTCCAAGTAGCGCATAGATGTATTCTTTTACATCCATTTTTAAATAACTGATCTGAAACTGGCGGAACAGCAACTTCTAAACGTTCAAAACACTTTCCATGAGCTCAAATCCCTCCCATTCAACTATATAAGCCTTTGTTTCTTTGCAGGCAGGGTCTAGTTGTCTTTGGTACCATCACAGTCCTATGCATGTTGCTGAAATCCACCTCTGTCATGGGGACAGACAAGAGAGGACAGCAAGGGATGGCCTCGTGAGGCTGGATTAAGGCAAAAGCAGTGAAAAACCTCCCCGAGAAATCCTGAAAACTGGATCCAGGAAAATCTTACAACTGCCAGTGGAGTCGTATGTGATAGAGAAGTCTGCTATGGCTCTGTGGGCTATCATCTGTCCCTTAAAGAATCTGATTCCCCTCAATATTGGAGATGGAGCACAGTTCAAGTGACCGCGTAGGGAATAAAGCACTTCAGAGTTAGCCACTCACACACATAACATTAAAACTCAGGGATTTAAAGGCTGCAATTGGTCTTTTCTCTAAGTGGATGCTGAGGAAACTCCTGCTGGCTCAGCATCTCCAGACTATACCGAGTATGTACTATGCTAACTTCTTCTGCAGTCAATGCAAGGTTAAAAGTACAGAGGTGACAAAAATCTGGAAGCTGAAGAGTAACATATCCATAATCCTCTCATTTACAGATACTAACAGCTCCTAGAAGGTGGGTGTGAGGTATTGGTGTTGATGAAGCTCCTCTTGCACTATCACCAGCAGCACAGCTCAACACTTCCTAAACTCAAGGGCAGGAACATTCTGAACACAGCAAACCATATCTGTTCCTGGAGCCCATCTTAATCTTCCTGGTAACTTTTATTTTTGAGAGATTACAGACCAACTTAGACGACTTTATTGGTTAATTTATATAAACCAACTGGAATACAGAGACATTGGGCTCTGTTTAGTTTGCGCAGCCTCTTTGAGGAAACCTAAATTCAAATTGAGATTAACTGCACTCTCCAGCGGTTACAGACTGACAGTAATACAGGTAGTGAGGCTATAGGAATAAACAAAAAAGCTTTCTTAATAATAAATACAAAAGCTTTCTTATGGAGCACTGAACAGGCTGCCCAGAGAGGTTGTGGAGTCTCCTTGTCTGCAGACACCCAAAGCCCTGGCCGTGTTCCTGTGTGACTGCTCTGGTGATCCTGCTCTGGCAGGGGTTGGGCTGGGGGAGCTTTCCAGGTCCCTTCCAACTCCTCATATTCTGTGATTCTGTGATAAGTGCTCCTACAGAAAGATTTTGACTACCCTTTGCATGGGATTCTCCTTATTATGTCTTTAAGATTTTCACAAAAGGAAAAGGTACAGAAATGAGTGTCTGTTATGCCAAAAAGGACACACACAATACTTTGACAAGATGGGACATGAGAGAACACAGTGCCATGGTTTAATGCTATTAGAGGACAAACACCCTTAGGGGGCGAAGCTGGTGCCAAAAACACTTCCTTTACTTCTGACTCTTATCAAGTCGTTAAACGTTGGCTGAGTCATTCCCACAGACCCCAAAAAAACAAAGCAAGCAAAAAAACCTGCCAAGATCTGTGTCCCTGACCTCATCAGAATTGAGTAAAACCACTCTTGTGCTGTATTGACCATCTATAAAGACAGAGACTAGACAGAAAAGGAATCGCTAACAAGAGGTGTGGTAAACAGCTTTAGTGGGCAGTGCCTGCATTTTTTACACTTGGCTTAAGATCCCACTGATCGTGGTGTCAAATCCTGCTCGTAACTCATGTCTCGCCTCTGATATTAAGTCAATTTAATGCTGCAACAGTGCCATCTGTATCAGGCAGCTGAAGTAGAGTGAGAGGGAAAATACCACGGTATCATAGCCAGTGTAGACAGGAAGCTTCTGGACCACTTGCTGATGGTCAGACGTGAGCCAGACTGGAGCCTCAGCACACACCTTAATGATTCAGTTCAGTGTCTGAGCAGAGACACAACACTGTGAGTGTCTGTTCTGGAATAAGCTGACTTGTTCACTTTCAAGCTTTGTTTCTAAAGCGAAGAGTACTTGAACAAAACAACTTTTCGTACCTATTGACTACAAAATGACAACCAAGTTTAGCAAATAAAGGGGCAGGGGAAGTGTGAGACGTTGGCAACTTAAGCTTAAAATGCAGAACAAGAGTGGGTGTAAGCACAGGTTTCACAGGCAGCCAGACTATTCGACCAGACCTAGACCCTTCAACAGGAAGGAGCAGCAAACAGCTATAACTCCTATAAACCAGGCTGTATCTCAGTGCCACAGGCAGCAAGAAGCTGCTGGGCCCTTCATACACGTGGACTAAAGGCACGAGGGTACGCTACGGGCACAGCTATGACACATCATTTTGTGAAATTACTTCCTTCTCACAAGGCTGTGTAATCCACACGGACAATCGCTCAAAGAAGAGTTTAAGACGACTGACATATTCAAAGGTATTAGAAGAAAAGATTTTGGTCTTACTTTAAAATTAACTTTCTGCAAAAGAAGACCAGGCTAGAACCTGGGCTGCTGATCTTAATTACACTGTGCAGGTAGCTCCTGCTGGTCGTTAAACGTTTGGCTCCCACCCAGTAGAGCATCTCTACCAGCTCCGTCCAAGTTTTCTTAGCCTGAAACATTAAATCAAAAACACAACTCTAACACATGCCACTATTTAAAAGAGACACACACATTAACACCTAACGTTTGGCTCCCACCCAGTAGAGCATCTCTACCAGCTCCGTCCAAGTTTTCTTAGCCTGAAACATTAATCAAAAACGCAACTCTAACACATGCCACTATTTAAAACAGACACACACGTTAACACCTGGGTGGAATTTTTGAAGTGGCTGGCTTTGCAGAAAGTGAATTTACATGGCAAGAACAGAATTTGCATTCCCGCAGTGAGTTTATACGGGCCATGCCTAGAAGGTGCAGCTGCAGACTACTTAACTACGAAAAAATAGCAAGTGGACCTTTGGATCAAGGCACTGGGATGCTGTGATTAAAGGGTAAGTCTGGTTACTTGTATTGAGGAGATGGAGGGAAATAATTGGGGACAGCAGAGGGAGCAGGAAAGTGCACAACCCAACAGCTTCACAGAATGAGCTCTGTTTAAAGCACACTCTTTTATCCATGTATAAATAAGATTGAGTGAAATCACAGGTATCAAACCACTCAATTCCTCAAAATAAAGTAACTCTGCCACTGTGCAATATCAGAAAGTAACAGGTAACACCTCCTTTGAGCTGGACCGAAAGGACTGTGACACGACAGAACCAATCCCCACAGTCTCCACAACCTGTTACCTTGTAGACAGATCCAATTTTAACATTTAGCCATAGAAACAGTGTTAAGGCTAGGAATAAAGGAAATTCATGTGTCAAAAACCCCAACTAACAGTAGGGAATTTCCCCCTTGGTCCATCATCTCCCTCTTGTGGCTCTGTTAAACTTCTATGTTCTCACATCCTTTCTTCCAGCTCTATTCCTAAATCCAACCTAAGCTGCATTATTCTCTCTCAGGCAACTCCTTTGCCACATCCTGGAGGTGTGTGATGACCAGCAGTGATATTCACCCGTGCTGATGACTGCATTCTTCAGAACAGTGAGAAGAGGAGGAAATTATTCTCTATGAGTAGTGAACTCCCTCTGCCATGTACTGCCCTGTCCTTCCCCTTGGACCACCCTGCTGAGGCAGAAATAACTCAGTGTCACAGTCCTATGCTGCTGCAAGGGTTTCTTTGTGCTGAAGAGCTCCCAAAACTGGCTACACCAGCTTTTGGACAAATAGACAGAAGGGGAGTGGTGTAAAGTGTTCTAGGAATCAATCTATAACCAAAGAGCCAGTGTCTTACTATGCTTTGGTCACAGATTGGAAAATGGCATAAAAAGTTCTCTTTCACTACAAGATTTTGGCAAAACAGTGACTAGTTTTGTTCCAGTTATGATGAGGATCATAGGTGTAGACATAAAAAGAGGGACTTTTGCTGTGTGGTACTGAGCAACAGATTTCCCCTCCCTCAGCAGAACACTTAGGGTAAAGCAATTGTCATTTTACTGCCCTGTAAGCTCCTCTGTAACAGGAACAAACCCAGCACAAAAGCATACACCTCATAAAGAGGCCTTTACAAGACTGCTTTGTCACTTCTAAGAAGGATGTCCCATTTCAAACTCTGATGCAGTTTCCTCTCCTTTGCTTTCTATCTGTTTGGAAAGCGGACAGAAGGGAAGGGCAGTCCTTACAACGGCTCTCCCTCAGGAAAGATACCAAGACGAGCAGAGGAAAGCCATGGAGAGTGAAGTTTTTACCCCTAGGACCCGTTACTGTGCCTGTTTCCAGCTAGAGCATCTTCCCCTCTTATTTGAGTTTTACAGTGTCTGTATTCTGCTGGAGAGGGAGGCAAGGAGAGGGAGGCAAGGAGAGGGAGGCAA